ATAAAGTCAACCTGCGCGTCTATTCCCATTCAAGCACACGATCTGAAATGCGCGCATCTTCTAGGGCTCGGATTCCTACCCGGAATCTTTCAATCGGGCTTTCGAATACAGCCCTATGCGATACCACCTGCTCTGCATAATCTGGTGCACCTTGACTGGGCACCCCCGGCTGACGCAGGGACCGGAAGGCAGGAGGTGCAATGGCAAAACGGGCGCTTGGCAGTGCAAGCCTGTGAGAACCTTGTTTGAACGCTGGATCCAGACATGTTGAAGCTTTGAAGGGGGAAATCCCCACCCAACGCAAATGTCTGACTTCCTTAAATCTGCTGGTTAACTGGCGATGCAGCATTTAATCGAACGGAACAAAAAGAAGGACGCTATCTATAGTCTGTTCCATTCACATGGCTCGTTAAAGTTGATGCAACAGTGCGTGTGGTGGACTGTATGTGCAAAGTGTTTGCAACATGTGACATCTAACATGCACCCAGCAGCAGCTTGCAGAGATTCGTGTGATAATCCAATTTTGGTCAAATCTTCTTGGACTTCTGATTGGTTTCCACTGGGTTCCCTCAATGCATGCGTCAACTAATGTGATTCCAACTGGTTTCGTCAGTAGATGTCGGCGATCGTTGTCTATAGAGCATTTCCGATGCATGCGCTTGCAGGGTGCAAGCTTCTGTCAGGCTGTTTAAAATGCTGCGGAACATCATCAGTAATGTGAAGATGTTTACTGATTAGTGCAGTGTTGGCACTGTCCTCCTCCTGAAGTGCTGTTCTTCCTTGACTTTTTGGGACTGCTACAAGTTATTCGTCTTCGGTTTCCGGCCAGATCTTTTTCGATGACTCGGGTTCACGTCCTCAGATGCCACAACGCCGCTTTTGGGCATTCAAGGTGAGGAGACAGAGGCGTCAAAGTGGGCCATGGGCCTGGCACCGCCAAGGGCTCTTTAATGATTAAGAAATCCAACTCTTTTAAGTATTTCTAACTACAATGCCCGTGTGATCTCGATAGTTCAAAAGATAACTCTCGGAACCTAAATCAATGCTCACCGTTGATGCCTCTTCAAATCATCAAATCTGGACAGCATCTCTGATGAGGTGGGCCAGGAAGGCGCCTCCGCCAAGTGACGAAGGCCAAGCGCACCGCCTGGCAGCAAGGATGGACATATTCTGTTTGCATCTTTTTGCTTCAGCGCGCTTGGATGAAACCGAAATAGCATCCCAATGGATCCCCCATTTCAATGTCTGCCATTTTGGCAGCTTCAATCCCCATGGCTGGTCGGAAACTCCCATGTTTGGCAGATTCAATCCCAAGTATGGATGGAAAGTGGAAAATATGAGTCAAACCACTAACCAGTTAACAATTGCAGCTTTTTTTCGCCCTCGAATAGACAGGAAGGAAAATACCCCTGCAATTTAAAGGGTGGTTAGCCACCTCAAAAAACGAGATAAGACTATAAGACTCGAGTGATCTGTTCCCATACATTTGGGACTGGATCAAACAGCCGAACAAGTCGATCTTTGTGGCCTCTACACAGGCGCCTCCATGAACACATCTGAGTTTCCTCCTGGTGCCGTGAAACTGCTGGGGTCATGCAGAGTTTTTGCTTTCCGCTTGCAGAGACTTGGTCGCTTGGTTCGGTGGAAGGCGATCGTTTCTTGTCGTGAAAATATCAAGACTAAAATAGTTGTGTGTCCTATCAGGTACGCTGGTAGCATGTACGAGCTGCAAGATATGTTTAATGTTCTATCTCCAGGCTGAGGCTGCATTTTGAAATGATTTTGCAGGATCCGGATGTACAGCCAGAGCCAAGTGAAAAAGTCAGAAGCCCTGAAAAGAATTTTGAATATGCGTCGGATAGTTTATTCTTCATCACAGAAAACAAGGCACGAACTCACTCGGGGGGGCCTTTGTTTCACAAGGCAGGCGAGCATTTTGCATGCAGAATGTCTCTGTTAAAAGGGTTTTCAAAGTTCAGAGCGTCTTTTCCAAAATTTGGACGAACGAAACAAGGGGTTGACAGAACATCTGCCATCATCGATTTCAGAGGCAATATGTCAAACAAAAAGGATTCAATGTTGACTATCTTTGACAGAAAAGGCATCCAAAGGCATCCATGTGGGGAGAGTCAGAAACAAGAAAAGGTGTCACATTGAGAACATCTTTCATAAAGGCATCCATCTGGGTGACATTTTGCTTTAAAAGAACTGGCTTCACATTGGGAACATCTTTCATAAAGGCATCCATTTGGGGAACATTTTGCTTTAAAAGAACTGGCTTCACATTGAGAACATCTTTCATAAAGGCATCCATTTGGGTGACATTTTGCTTTAAAAGAACTGGCTTCACATTGACAACATCTTTCATAAAGGCATCCATTTGGGGGACATTTTGCTTTAAAAGAAGTGGCTCCACATTGACAACATCTTTCATAAAGGCTTCCATGTGGGAGCATTTTGCTTTAAAAGAACTGGCTTCACATTGAGAACATCTTTCATAAAGGCATCCATTTGGGGGGCATTTTGCTTTAAAAGAACTGGCTTCACATTGAGAACATCTTTCATAAAGGCATCCATTTGGGGGGCATTATGCTTTAAAAGAACTGGCTTCACATTGACAACATCTTTCATAAAGGCATCCATTTGGGGGGCATTTTGCTTTAAAAGAACTGGCTTCACATTGAGAACATCTTTCACTTGAGAGCAGGCGGAGGCGGACGAAAGGTAGGAGTGGTGTCAAAATGCCACGCCCCTAAGATGATACTCCAAAAACGTTTTTGCGCAGTCTAAGATGATTTTATCCAGAGCATGACTGCATGATACGGTGTCTTGTGCAGCGTGAAATGATGCAGGAAAAGGGGTTTATTTAAAACCCCTTTTTAAGACCCCTTGCAGCAACTGTTATTGAGGCTGAAGCAAACCAATTATGCTGGACTACAGGGGCATCTCCCTCATGGAGAGTGTGCCTCTACTTTGGCGGACCGTGACCGCGTCACCCGCGGGAATTGAACCCATGACCATTTTAGACGGGGGGCGCCCTTATAATTGATATCTAATAAATAACGCCGAGAATGCTACGTTTTCCACGGGCTGGCCCCCCAATACCCCCTATGATTGTGCTGAAGCACGGAGAACTCAGGTAGCTGACGCTACCTTTCGTGATAAAGGCATCCGTTTGGGGGGCATGTTGCTTTAAAAGAACTGGCTTCACATTGAGAACATCTTTCATAAAGGCATCCATTTGGGGAACATTTTGCTTTAAAAGAACTGGCTTCACATTGAAAGCATCTTTCATAAAGGCATCCATTTGGGGGGCATTTTGCTGTAAAAGAACTGGCTTCACATTGAGAACATCTTTCATAAAGGCATCCATTTGGGGGACATTTTGCTTTAAAAGAACTGGCTTCACATTGACAACATCTTTCATAAAGGCTTCCATTTGGGAAGCATTTTGCTTTAAAAGAACTGGCTTCACATTGAGAACATCTTTCATCAAGGCTTCCATTTGGGGGGCATGTTGCTTTAAAAGAACTGGTTTCACATTGAGAGTTTCTTTCATAAAGGCATCCATTTGGGTGACATTTTGCTTTAAAAGAACTGGCTTCACATTGACAACATCTTTCATAAAGGCATCCATTTGGGAGACATTTTGCTTTAAAAGAAGTGGCTCCACATTGACAACATCTTTCATAAAGGCTTCCATGTGGGAGCATTTTGCTTTAAAAGAACTGGCTTCACATTCAGAACATCTTTCATAAAGGCATCCATTTGGGGAACAGTTTGCTTTAAAAGAACTGGCTTCACATTGAGAACATCTTTCATAAAGGCATCCATTTGGGGAGCATTTTGCTTTAAAAGAACTGGCTTCACATTGAGAACATCTTTCATAAAGGCATCCATTTGGGGCACATTTTGCTTTAAAAGAAGTGGCTCCACATTGACAACATCTTTCATAAAGGCTTCCATGTGGGAGCATTTTGCTTTAAAAGAACTGGCTTCAAATTGAGAACATCTTTCATAAAGGCATCCATTTGGGGAACATTTTGCTTTAAAAGAACTGGCTTCACATTGAGAACATCTTTCATAAAGGCATCCATTTGGGGGGCATTTTGCTTTAAAAGAACTGGCTTCACATTGAGAGCATCTTTCATAAAGGCATCCATTTGGGGGCATTTTGCTTTAAAAAAACTGGCTTCACATTGAGAACATATTTCATAAAGGCTTCCATTTGGGGGGCATGTTGCTTTAAAAGAACTGGCTTCACATTGAGGGTTTCTTTCATAAAGGCTTCCATTTGGGGGGCATGTTGCTTTGAAAGAACTGGCTTCACATTGACAACATCTTTCATAAAGGCATCCATTTGGGGGCATTTTGCTACAAAAAAAACTGGCTTCACATTGAGAGCCTTTACCCAGTTGGGTGACATTTTGCTTTAAAAGAACTGGCTTCACATTGAGAGCATCTTTCATAAAGGCATCCATTTGGGTGGCATGTTGCTTTAAAAGAACTGGCTTCACATTGAGAACATCTTTCATAAAGGCATCCATTTGGGGAACATTTTGCTTTAAAAGAGCTGGCTTCACATTGACAACATCTTTCATAAAGGCATCCATTTGGGAACATTTTGCTTTAAAAGAACTGGCTTCACATTAAGAACATCTTTCATAAAGGCATCCATTTGGGGGGCATTTTGCTTTAAAAGAACCGGCTTCACATTGAGAACATCTACAGGACGAAACCCTGCAGAGGCAACCCCAGGATACTAATGATACATTTCACCGTGCCCAATGAAACCTGTGCGGATAAGCCGAATCATGCAGTGCAAAAGGCACGAAGCGGCGAAGTAACATGGGAAAAAACGGCATCGGTGAAGTGAGACAAACCAGGCGACCACCTGCGAACGCTCACCGGTTGTTCTATCCAAGGAAGGCAGCGTCACAAGGGAAGCCATCTCAGTCCGATGCAATCAGAAGGCGGAGAAGACCTGGAACTTAAGCTTCATCAGGAAGAGCCCGTGTGTCAGGGATGGTGGCCCGCCGTCGGAGGACTGCGCGAGCATTTTCTCGATGCAGGGTGATTCCAAGTGCTTGGTAGAGCCTGCTAGTTTCGAGAGAAGATGGTTCCCCAGTGCGAGCAGCAATCGCCGCGCCCAACGAGTTCCAGGTGGCTACGCCCGTTGGGCCCCAGCCCCCGCCAATTGCTTCAGCAACCAATGGGAGGAATTGAAGGCCCTCTGCTTGACACTGCGCGTGGGTGTTGAGGAAAGCACATTTTTTGGCTTCATAATCGGCAGCAGCTCGTTCACCTGCTGTGGCAGAAGCACCAACGCTGCCTTGCCGAAGCCCGGACGTGACAGCCAGATCAAAAGCTGCAGCGCCATGCAACCCCCAACTGCCGACCCAAACGTCTGCAGGGCGACGGCCACCACCAGCCTGGCGAGCACCATCTTCGGGGCCACCACCATCATCGGGCCGAGGTGGGAGGAGGCCAGCTTTTTCGATTTCGGGATGAAGACCTGCAGCATGAGCTCGGGCACAAGATGGAACGGAGACGATGGTGCCGCTTCGTACGGTCCCCTCCACAAGGACATACACGAGCATGGTCGCCTTGTCTGTCCAATACACCGTCGCAAAGTGGGCAGGGCATGTCCTGGTCACCGACAGGAAGCCGGAGCCGCATCTGGACCATGACAATGAACAGAGAAGAAGCGACATGGAGGCCGAGAGCTTCAGATGGTGGGGCGCGCAGCCAAGCCCCAGCACCAGGTTGTTGCAGAAGTTTCAGGTGAGCTCGGAAGGCTTCCCGTCCAGGAGCGGGACGGGCCAAATGTTCAACGGTGGCCTTGTCCAATGCCTGGGACAACTGTTGCTGTCGGAGGGTGGGCGGCAAAGGCGTAGGCAAACGGTCAGCGGGGAGCACATCCTGGGTGGCTGACTGGAAAGCGTCGCTGTGGTTGGACTGGTACTGGGGGCCCAGAGCATTGCAAAGGAGTTGGGTGTGGAAGAGGGAGATGGCATATGCGGCAGGTCCGTGTCGGGCAGAGTGGCGGAGACCAAGACCACCAGAAGAAGTGGACAAGGAGGCTTGCAGCCAGGCGTCTGGTGACAAGGGGCCAGTGCACACGGACTCGAGGCAGTGGCGGATCTCATTGTCGAAGTTGGCCGAGGCTTGGGTGATGGAGGCGGGCGGGGTGACCCGAGTGGAAAAGCTGAACTTGCACCAAGAAGCACAATCCCGGAGGAGCAACAAGCCAGTTTGAGGGTCAGGCAGCTCGGCGATCTGGTGGAGGAGCGGCTTGGCTGTCCCGATGCGCTTGGCGGAAGTGAATGACTCGCAGAAGGAGGCAGGGCCGATGGGTGCACCAAGGATGGAAAATTGACCAGAGGTGTTGAGCTGGAAGCCGGAAGGAAAGGCGGCCAAGTCCACAGAATGCTCACAACCAGCACAAGTAGTAAGGATGCACTTGTGAGGGTTGAGGCGGAGGCCTGCCTGGCGAGCTGTCCCGTGGAGACGTTGGAGGGCGGAAGCAACTTCGAGCCAGGACCCAGCGAGGCAAACATCATCCAAGTAGGCAAACAGGAGCTCAGGGCCGCTTTGGGTGCGAAGGCCAACGGCGCGGAGGGCCGGCTGAAGGGCCAGCGCGAAGAAAAGGGGGCCCAAAGGATCGCCTTGCTGAACACCGGCTTCGGAAGTGAAGGCTTCACCGTGGAAGAGGAGGCGCGACGGGCCACCAATAAGTCCATTCAGCCCAAGGAGCCAGGCCAGGAAACCGGAGCCGGATCTCCCGCAACATACCCAGACGATCGATGGAGTTGAAGGCATTCTCAAAGTCTAGGCTGAGGAAGACCATGTCGGACTTGCCGGCAGAGCGCTGGCACCATTGGCGGGCAGTGTGGATGGCAGCTTCGGCCCCCAATGGGACGGAGACCCCGACCTGTGCACAGGGGGTGGGAGATCCAAGGAAGCTTGTGAGGGGCGGAGGGCCCCGGTGCAAGGCGGATGTACCCAGCAGGACGGATCGGGATGGTCATGACTGGCAATCCCACAGATGGAGAAGGTTAGTCGCCAGAGGAGCAATGCAGCCGAGAGAAGGGCCATGGCTCAAGCAAGGAGTATGGGGCTGCGAGGCAGAGCCAGCAGGCGGAGCGGGCACACCAGAGGTGCTAACACTTGGGGCCCGCGACACCACCCACCAGCCCTGCCAGGCAGCCCCTGGCAAACCGTCAATGATAATAGTAGGGTGGCATTTTGCTTTAAAAGAACTGGCTTCACATTGAGAACATCTTTCATAAAGGCATCTATTTGGGGGGCATTTTGCTTTAACAGACATGGCTTCACATTGAGAGCATCTTTCATAGAGGCATCCATTTGGGGAGCATTTTGCTTTAAAAGAACTGGCTTCACATTGAAAGCATTTTTCATAAAGACATCCATTTTGGGGGCACTGTGTCAAACAAAAAAAGGTTCAATGCTGAGAATTAAAAAGTCTTTGTTCAAAGGTATCCATTTCTTTCAGCGGCATTCCGTTTCAAGAGTCTGGTTTGCATGTTGAGAGCACGCCTGTCACTGCATCCATTTCGGGGAGATTGTCCTGTACAAAAAAGTTGGTTGTTTGTCAATTGGTCATAAAGGATCATAAAGGGACATAAAGGGCATCCGTTTGGGGGCACTATGTTTCAGCCTCGACAGCCTTCAATGTTAAGACCATGCCATGTGTGCCGTAAAAGGCATCCAGCATCCATTTTGGGGCCGCTGGTTTTCCGCACAACAAGTTTTTGAATGTTGGGGATTTCTTCACAAAAGGCGTCCATTTTGGGGGCCATTAGATATTCACAAAATGGGCCACCCTACTGCAATTACATGCAAGATCATCACTGATTTGGATCTGCACTTTGCATGCGAGGCAACTAGAACTAGAAGTTTTTTCAAAATGAAATCGTTCACACCCTGCTCGATGGAAGAGAAATCATCCTCATGATCCAAGTCTGCAAGTCCTTCCGAATGGCGGCCACATTGGTGCCACAGCCAGACCAAGTTTCAGAAACTCTTTTGGTTTTGACTTATGTTTCAAGACTGAGAAGTGCTTGGCATGTGTGTAACGCCTATCTTCCAGGGCCATCCCACTGCATGCTCCTGCCAAAGGCACGGTGCCCCTTTTGCGCCGCACATCAGACGCCCCGCGGCACTGCCGGGCCAGTGGATGAAATGGATTCTCATGCACAAAACTGATGCACGTATGGACTATCTGCAAATCCTGACCAAATATTCATGACCGGTTGAAGCATAGCTGCCTGCGAGCATGTTGGGTGTAATTTGGGTTCCACAAGGATTTCCTGACCAGTCCAAAGTGTTTGGGGGCCTTGGCAAGCAAATGCAAGAAACAAATAGAAACAACTGTTTTTTATTTGAGCTTCGGCCAAGTTCACAAAGGAATACCTCGCCATCTTGGAAGAGGCTCCCCGGAATCTCTTGATGCCCCAAGTTTGGATTGCTCATAATTCGCTTCAAGCATAACTAGCCTCTTCCAAATTGAGAAGGAAACAAACCAGGTTTGAAGTCGGTGGAGAACCACCCCCCTTCCACCCCCTTCCAGTGGTGGGCTATGACAGTTGACTGGTGTCTTTCGAGGTCATCCGGACATGGCCAAAACACAGTTGAGAGATGTTCCGAAATTCACTGGGAACCAATTTCCGGGCCCATTCTGTTTGACACATGGATAGAGTAAGTGGTTGGCCAAAATAACGACCAGGCACTCACTACCTCACTGGCATGGCGAGATCAGTTGCTGGCAAAAGCTTGAACACCAAAGTCGAACGGTTCACGCATGACCAGAAGCAGGCCAAGTTGCAATAAAGAAACGATAAATCTGGGCAACACTATCCTGATTGGAAGCCCTGACCTTCAAGTGCTCTGTGCTGGGGTCAGATCGACATACGCACTGTTTTCACACTTGGCACTTGGCAATTCAAAGCACTGATTGTGGGTTCAAACCTTCTATGGATCTCGGTGAAACGGGAGATATTGATACATATTGATACAAATATATGATGATGGCTGGCGGCTCCATGTGCAGGGTCACGGGCTGAAAGATGCCGATCTGCCTGCAAATCTCCTAAATCAGAACTGTCCAAAACGAATCAAACACAAATCCCACGGGCAAACCAATGCAGTTTGTTGGACGGCTGTTATCAGCATTGTGGGGGGTCTTGGTACGTCAAGCCATTCCTAAACCCAAACTGCAACAAGTCTGGCAGAAACTCAAACGTAGAATTTTCTATCGGTCCAACTTCTGCTGAACAAAAACTAGACTTGCAGAAGTTTGAGAAATTCAAACGGCCCACCACATGCTGCCTCAGAACCAAAATCCTTGGCAATAGGACAAGGCCAGCTTTCTATCTAAAGAATCTACAGAATCTAAAGTCTTTGGTGGGTTTCTCAATTGGTCCTTTTCAAGAAAGCAACGCAATGAGACATGTGACCCGTGAGAGTCTTCACGGCAAATTTCGGGTTTTCCCATGGCCTTCAAGCGACTGGACCGTGCTCTTGTTGGAACCGCTCCAGGTTGCGGCGACTCGCTCGGACCTCTTCGGAATCCGGCCCGTGCAGCTCCTGCAGAGGCGGCTCTGACAGCGGCACCGAGTTTCATTAGCAAAACTTTCGCGGATCTCTCGGGGTGATCAATGATTTCATGTTCACCCCACAGAGCTGACAGCCTGAAATTGTAACACCGAACATGGCACACAAAAAGAAAAAGACAGGAAACGTATCAAATCGAAACATGTTCTTTTTCTTTGAGAGATAAATCTTCTTGAAATGAATTTTAATGGCGGAAGATGTCATATCTTTGACGGGGCTCAACTATAAAAGCGACCTTGGCCATTGTACCAAGAATACTTTGGGACTCCAAGATCCGCAAGCAGCGACTACCAGCTGGATCCAGATGGACTAGTGATGTGGGGACCGAAGGCCATCAAGTGGCTATCGATGGCTATCGACTGTTCCCTTCTGACCCTTGCAGAGGCCTCCAATCCACGCAACTCGCGGAGGTAAAGCTTCCCCGCCTGGACACGATGCGGTGCACATGGTGTGTGGCCACTTGGGACCCGGGCTGATGACGCACCATGCAACCCCACTTTTTGGAACTTGCAATACCTTATAATAATGATACTGGTTCGGCATACCTAAAAGAATGTCACAAAACCTCGTCTCTATAGCATTTATTGAAAGAAGACACATATAATGTAAGAAAACATTATTCTTTTAATCTTGACAACACTTTTGCCAAGACCGGTGAGATTTGTTCCTTTCAAGAGGGCGTCGCTGTTAAACCACTTATTCAAGCAGAACCGCCCCAAGCAACAACACAAGCCGGCATCGCCTCTGTGACGGAGCCTTTGTCCTCCAGAAGAATCGCCAAATTCCGCACGGAGGTGAGGGTGTCCGGATGCTCGGGGCCCAGCTGATCTTCTTGCCCCGTCAGGGCCCTGCGACAGAGCTCCTCCGCCTGCAGGGTGGGTTGTGGATGGATGACAGCAGGGTGGTGCCCCATGCCGTAGCGAGATGGGCCTTGTGCTGTGATCCGCAACTGGTGAAAGGCAATGTGTTGGTGACGCAGTGTGGCACATTGATTGTTCAAACATCAAAACCCGCAAATCTCAGAATCTGATCTGCAAGGGATGGGATTGTGGGAACCAAGAAGCCAGGGTGAAGGCTTTTCTTGTACTGCGTGAAACTGGCACACATTATCGATGCATCAGCCAAAGCTCTAAATAGAACCGAGCTACCAAGTTTCACTTCTTGGAAGACAATGTTGATCTACCCTTGCGCAAAATGCATGTACTGCTGTTGGGATCCAACAACCCAGTCAAACGAATAAGGCCCAATCTGGTATCTACAGCCGAAGCTTGGATTCCGGAGAAACAGTTTCATGATGCTTGGCACGTGTCTTGCGGGGTCAACTCACCAAATTCACTCGCAACAATCCTGGGGACAGCCAATCTCAATGCAAACTTAAGCCACAACGTGTTTCACCTGCACGAACAGACTTATCACTTGTCAATACTTATCACAGATTCACATTCCGATCTTGGGCTTTAATGAGAAAATACTATTCCAAGCACCTGTCAAAAACTGTAGGAACTCACCACAATCAGCTTTAGATGATCACCAAAACCATTCACAAAACATCATAAATTCAGTCCGAGGTGAAAGTGGGAAGCAAGAAAACTCACCCGTACCAGTCTTTCCGCAACTTCTGTGTACCCCAAGAACCTCATCCCGGCCTCCTCCAACTTGCCCTGCTTCTGCAAGAGCATGGCCAAGTTGTTCACCGCGGTGAGCGTGTCGGGGTGTTGCGGTCCCAGTTGGGACTCGCGGCCTTCCAAGGCTCGGCGGTGTAGCCCTTCCGCCTCGCGGCTCGAGATGGAGCGCTGAGGTGTCGAAACATGAGAAGAGCCCCAGCTCAGGCCCCATGTGTCATGGAAAGGGAAGAAAAGCCAACAAAGGCCACAATTTTTGGACTAGCGGTATGAAAATGCTATTCCAAGCCATCAAGCACTCTTTGAATTCACGGGATGCCAAGAAGCATCAATTTATTCAATTTACTCACAGTGTTTGCTCACATTGCTGGCCCGCTCTCACGAAACAACCCTGGGGCGACCACGGAGGTGGCTACGGCTCGGATGATCGGTCATCATCTCAAACATTGTCAAACGCCTTCGAAAATAATCAACGGATTAAAATTGCTAGGGGCCTCGAAAAGCCCTGCCGAGCATGTAGGCAGGCTAGGTATGGCTAGATTGCATATAAATATATATATATAACAAGAAAATACAGGAAATACTCCCTTCACAGGTTCAGCTGACCTGGTGATGCTGTCACAGTCAAACAGGTGCCTATGCGGCCAACTAAGATCATACATCTCACAAGAATTTGCAAACTTCAAAAGCCAATAGGGATGTTGAGGCTGTACCTGTTGGCAACCTTTTGGCAAGCTGCGTTTTGTTCACCGTTTTGAAGACTCTTCGCAAACCGCTTTTAACGTGCCAATTCACGTTCATAGCTTCAGGCTTTCACAGATTCCTCACACAAACAACTGACACACGATCATTCCCATCTAGCTGATTTTGATCCTGCTGGGGGTACGTCACACTCCTGGGACGATCATTGCCCGCTTTCGTCATCGTTCTCAAATCAATAAACTGTATGTGGCCTCGGTCGCCCATTTGGAAATATGTTGCATGCGTTTTATCGTGATCCGGAAACTCTTGCATATAGAATCAAGAGTCCGGGTTTAATCAATTGAAGAGGTGTTGGTATCGTGAAGAAGGGCCTTACAAACAGCCTTGGCTGGCTGATTTTGTAAACACAAAAATCTAGGGCGTGTGTTGAACTGAACCAAAATAGTATTGACATCACTCATCATCACTATGCTGTTGTGTTTCCCAGTGTGACGTCACAAGCCTAACAAACCCCAAAGATTCTTCAGAGTCTTGAAGTGATGAAACTCGTTGAAAGGAGCTTGTACTTTTCTTAGTTTTCCGCTGAGCCTTCATAGTTAAAGTTAGATTGCGGGAAAATGCAAGCGGCTGATGGGTTCCCAAGTTTGACTCTCGGGAATTGGAGGACAGATCCTTGGCACCAACCCTGATGCACATTGCATGTATGGATTTCATGCCCGGGCAATTCAACTTCTGAATTTGGGCGAAACTTAGGAGATGCACAAATTGGAGACATGGAAGTGTCCACTCTTCCACTCTTGCTTATACTTCAAAAAAAGCGCCTTCCCCTTGGAACTTCCACGGGGAAGGTCACCTTTCTGCCCCTGACCTCGGTCTGGCCTCTTCCAATTTGCCTTGCGACTTGAGGATACCAGCGAGAACGTTCACGGAGATTAGCGTGTTGGGGTGGCTCGCGCCCAGCTGCGCTTCACGCCTTGCGAGCGCTTTGCGTTGCACTTCTTCGGCCTGGCGGCTCGAGGTGGCGCCGCTGCGGCACTACAAACTAGCAACGAAAGTGTCAGGCAATTTGTGTAGTCACTGCGGTATGCAAACTACCATATACAGTGTATATATATATATATGTGATTATATCTGTATGTCTCCATATATCAATATCAATCGCACAGCTTTCGTGGGTTGCCGGCTGCAACCAGGAAACGAGTGGGAACAGTATGGGGGTCCTGCAGATGTCAGTCAGCATGCGCCTATATAGATATATCATACTATAGCCATCTATAGGCCTCATTTGCAAGAATTCACCGGAAAGATTTGACAGTTTTGCCATGTGTTCATTTTGCCGATTACAACTATGAAATGTGGATGGAGGTCCCAACGATGTATTACGCCCAAAAAAGGTAATCCAGCAATATTGGGAAATTGACAAGAGAAAATCCAGGCCTCAGGCCTTGGCCAAACAAAAATATGCCCTTGGTGAAACGTCCGGTAAGGTCACCTCTCACCCCAAAGACCCTCAGCCCCGCCTCTTCTAGCTTCCCCTGCTTCCACAGGATGGCAGCCAGGTTGGACATGGAGTTGAGCGTGTGCGGATGATTCGCACCGAGGTGCGCTTCGTGCCCTGCAAGAGCTCGGCGGTGCAGGGCCTCCGCCTGGCGTCTTGGGATGATGGCGTCGGTGGTGTGGGGCCCCAGGCCTGGATCCGCCTGTGAGTACTATGTGACCATGTGGGAAAGGAAGAAAGATGAACAATGGCTTTGTGTTTGGATTGATGAAAAAGATGTCAAATACAATTGTGCCATGTAAGATGCACACATAATTCAAAGCTGATTCAAAGCTTGAAGAATAAAACGCAAAGGTCGATGACTCGATCAGTTGACATGTTCAACAAAATTTGGATGTGAGTCATCTTCGTTCCAATCTTCCCGTTGTGAAAAAAACCAAACTCAGAAAACAAAAAGAATCATCCAACAATACCGGGAAACAAAAAGAATCTCCAGGCTTCAAGCCTTGGTCAAACCAAAAAATGCCCTTGGTGAAACGTCCAGGAAAGTCACCTCTCACCCCAAAGACCTCAACCTGCAACCGACCCCAGGGAACCAGGGGGAGCGCGTCTGAGAAGTAATGCCAAATGGCAAGAAAGAGGTTGCATCTGCAAAATTCCTTCATTGGTCTTCATTGAATTAGGTTGGCAACACTATCCTGTTGGTGACTTCAGAAGCCACGCAGTTCCCTGCTGGTATAGTGAATCTTGAAATTCTTCAGGTTTGATGAACTCTTTTGAGAGTGTTATAAAGGGTGACTATACTATACTTTCATGAGGTTTTGCCGAGGGTGGGCACATGGTCAGGAGGTGTGGGAAACAAAAGCAAGTACATATACTATATACAGACAAAAAACCCTGCAATGATCATCAATAATTGCATAAATGAATCACTTGTGACATCGTTTCAACAATACCGGGAAACAAGAAGAAAATGCAGGCCTCAGGCCTTGGTCAAACCAAAAATGTATAAAAATGTGAAGCGTCCTCCAGGAAGGTTACCTCTCTCCATCCAAAGGCCTCAGCCCAGCCTCAGCCAGCTTTCCCTGCTGCCGCAGGAGCATTGCCAGGTTGTTCATGGAGGTGAGCGTGTCCGGGTGATTCGCACCGAGGTGCGCTTCGCTCCCTGCAAGAGCTCGGCGGTGCAGGGCCTCCGCCTGGCGTCTCGGGATGGCACCGGTGGTGTGGAGCCCCAGGCCTGGATCCGCCTGTGAGTACTGTGTGACCATGTGGGAAAGGAAGAACGATGAACAATGGCTTTGTGTTTGGATTGATGACAAAGATGTCAAATACAATTGTGCCATGTAAGATGCACACATAATACAAAGCTGATTCAAAGCTTGAAGAATACAACACAAAAAGGTCGATGAGTTGACATGTTCAACAAAATTTGGATGTGAGTCATCTTCGTTCCAATCTTCCCGTTGTGAAAAAACCAAACTCAGAAAACAAAAAGAATCATCCAACAATACCGGGAAACAAAAAGAATCTCCAGGCTTCAAGCCTTGGTCAAACCAAAAAATGCCCTTGGTGAAACGTCCAGGAAAGTCACCTCTCACCCCAAAGACCTCAACCTGCAACCGACCCCAGGGAACCAGGGGGAGCGCGTCTGAGAAGCAATGCCAAACGGCAAGAAAGAGGGTGCATCTGCAAAATTACTTCCTTGGTCTTCATTGAATTAGGTTGGCAACACTATCCTGTTGGTGACTTCAGAAGCCACGCAGTTCCCTGCTGGTATAGTGAATCTTGAAATTCTTCAGGTTTGATGAACTCTTTTGAGAGTGTTATAAAGGGTGACTATACTATACTTTCATGAGGTTTTGCCGAGGGTGGGCACATGGTCAGGAGGTGTGGGAAACAAAAGCAAGTACATATACTATATACAGACAAAAAACCCTGCAATGATCATCAATAATTGCATAAACGAATCACTTGTGACATCGTTTCAACAATACCGGGAAACAAGAAGAAAATGCAGGCCTCAGGCCTTGGTCAAACCAAAAATGTATAAAAATGTGAAGCGTCCTCCAGGAAGGTTACCTCTCTCCATCCAAAGGCCTCAGCCCAGCCTCCTCCAGCTTCCCCTGCTTTTCCAGAAGGATCGCCAGGTTGTTCATGGAGGTGAGCGTGTCCGGGTGATTCGCACCGAGGTGCGCTTCGCTCCCTGCAAGAGCTCGGCGGTGCAGGGCCTCCGCCTGGCGTCTCGGGATGGCACCGGTGGTGTGGGGCCTGCAGGCCACATAATTCAAAACTTGAAGAATCAAACGCAAAGTTCGACGAGTTGACATTTCAACATAATTTGGATGTGCGTCATCGTCGTTCCAATCTTCCGTTTGCAAATAAACTCCAACCTCAGGGTGCATCTGTTCTGTGAGTTTTTGCAAAAACGCTTTGACAGACACCTCAGACTGAAACTTGCAACGCGGCATCTGTTCTTTGCAAACATCTTTTGCTAAACTTTGACATGTCCATGTTTTGGCACGTCCATACATGACGTGATTTGAGATGATTTGAGATGATTTGCGTAAAATTGACATGTTCATGCATTATCGCACTTCTACATAGATGACAATTCTGAGATGATCTGAAAATGTGGTTGTTGTTTCCCTGCAAATCTTCCCAACTTTTCCCAACACAAAATGCAGCACCATCCGCCCGCCACGGTGACTGCAGCACAGCACATCAGCGGCGCCTCGCTGAACTTCCCCAGGCGCTGCAGCACAAACGCCAAGTTGTTCACCACGGTGAGCGTGTCGCGGTGCTCGGGGCCCCGGAGCCGCTCTTCGGCCTCCAAGACTCGGCGCAGCAGCGGCTCGGCCTCGGCGAAGGCGCCGCGCGCCTCCAGCACCGTGGCGAGCCTCGGCCGTGGGATCGCCACGGGAGCCGAAAAGTTGCCACGGCTCCGTGGAGGAGAGAGGGCACTTTTTTGACTATGTGTGGTGTCGTGGCATATTTTTGGATCCATCTGGATCCAAATCTCTGGTGAGAAAACAAGATTCCGGGATTCGAATTGTTTTGATTTCACTTGAACAGTTGCTGTAGGCTATACTGATTGATGTTATTTGATGCTTGTTGTAAATACTTTTGCCTACTGCAATCTACGGCTTTCACTTTTGGAGCTTTGTGGGATTTCTGGATGCAAATCTCTTGTCAATACAGTTCTTGACTCAACAAATTCAACAAATACATGTTTGCTAATGTGTTGGTCTCTTTGGAGGGACTGAGATCCGCACCGGCTGAGTGCCAAAAGCACTTTGTCGTGCTCAGAGCCCAATCTTTCGGCTGTAGCATCTGCCCGGCACCGCAGCCTTGGTCCATGATGATGCCTATCACATGGCTGTGCCTATCACATGGCAATGCGGTGGTCGACCATGTCACCAACATGGAAGACAAATCAATTTCAAGAATGGCTAACGGTACTCAAAATCGTCAAGGTGTGGGAAAGCTTCCAGCTTCAGTCAGAAGCTCCCTGGCTACTGGGCTGCAATCGATGGCCCCTGCTTCAAATGCGGGATCTTCAACCAGATGTTTTTACGCGTGAGGGCGGGGGGCAGGTTTTTTAAATTGGCAGACGTGTGTCCTACATGGAGCGGGAAGATTCAAGTCAACTTATAACATAGTCAATAGACATAGAATAGCCGAATATAGCTGATAGATACTACAAAAGTCGAAGTGGACCGTACTCAAGAAATCTCAGAAGGAAGTGTCGTGCGTGCACTCCTGAGAGTTTCAAAGTTCCAGAACCTGAGTGCACGCCTTCTCCACATCTTAAAGTGAATGTTCAGGTGGCAAGATCAAACATCAAGATCAAACATCAAGTGATTCTGCTCCATGCCTTTAGTCCCTGATACTTTCAAGTGCAGGACAAGGCCCAAGCCAGGACAAAACGATGCTTTTATGTTGCGCTGTAGCTTTCTAGATCTGGAATGCAAAATATTGGATTGACAAGCGTGCCGGCTCTCGAAACAGAGCTTGAGCTTCATGGTTTCTGTTTGGTATCCTGTATCCTGCCACGACCATTATACTTTGACCCAAAGGAAAGGTTCCATAAACTCGCCAGGGAGCGACATGACCAGAGATCCCGGAAGAAGGAGTTCGGAAAGGCAAGATGAGAGCAAGAGAGCAGCTGAAACAGCCCGCAGGGCTGCATCAAAAACACTTGACACTTTTGAAATCATGCTGGTTCTGGTCCAAATCTCTCACAGGGACCTGTGTGCATCTCGAACTTGAGAATTCATCAAAAGCAAAAAACTTGTCAGCCCTCTGGATAATTTTCCAATAGAAGTTTGAACTCACCCCACCTGATTTAACCCTACTGGACAAATCCTAACCCCTGGATATGGCAAGCTCAAAGGGCCAAATGGATTGCAAGCCGACTCAAGACCCAAGTTCCAAGCCCCTGAAAGCAGCCAGGCTTCGTGTCCAGCAGCACTGCGCTAGCGTGGCCGACTTCCTCCTCTCTTTCCACCCTGATCACCACGCACTGCCTCTCTGGCTGACCAGGTTCATTCAGCAACTTGTCTGCCAGATTCCTGCGCCACGGGGCTTAAAGCAACGTCAAAATGGCGTGTTCAACAGATTTCGAAGCACTCAGGGACTGGGCCCCTGGCACGCCGGGAGGCTTGCCCTGGCCCCGCAGAGCAAAGATGAGTCACAAGCCAAATGCTGCAGAAAATGTCCACACAAGATCGGTTTAGCTCCAGGCAAAGCATGCTACCAGCCTCCTTCTGCATCTCCGGCGTCTGTTGAACCGCAACATCGTAGCATATGGCAGAGTTTGCCAAGAGTGGAATACAGTAGGCGACACGGGAGGCGTACTCCTGCATGACTGGATCTAGGTGTGTTAATCTCCAAACACTGACGATGTCCACATCCAAAAATTGAACCAAAAATGCGGTGCCTAAGAAAGGCACACTCTCCTCGTCCGCCGCCTCGCGGCCTTTCGTTTTCACGTCTCTCGCGTGCATGTTGCGGTAATTGTTGTCGACCAGTGTTGCCACATCTGGCCATTCATCCGGCGCCCTTCTTACGCTATACACTCCTCATCAGAGATGTTTGCAATGGACACAAAGGTCTGCAAGTGCTCACGTTTTGTCAGTTGTGATGCAC